ACAGGCCTCAGCTGGGACTTGGTCTCACACTGGAGGACTGTCACAACTTCCAATAATCTAAGTACTTAGGCTGAAAACGACAGGCGATAAAAGAAACGGAAGTAGAAGGGGAGATGAGTGTGAGAGAATGGGGACTCGGCAGGCCAGAGGCAGCAGTGCCAGATCCCAGCTGCAAGCTGTTTCCAAAAATCTGGTTGTACAGAAAGTGTCCAGAAACTCGAAATGAAAATGCCAAGCGCCTGTGCTGTGAACTGCATTCAAGATCTGTGACGCCCTTGGAAGGACAGGATTCACAGGCAAGAGGTGACTCTGCTCTATGCCTCACAGCCTCCTCGCGGTTAGAAGGAACTCAGGACTCGGGGGAGCCTCCCCTCAGAGAACTCCTGGCTCACGTCGCGCGAACTCGGGGCCCCTTGCACCAGACGGGCCCAGGACCTGCTGAGTTCCTGGGCACGGGGCAGGCCCGCCTCGCCCGTCGGCCCACTGAGCGTGTCGAAGCAGGAGCCTGGCTGGCCATCTGGCCCAGGGCTGCCCAAGGAAGGGGCTGCAGAGACTGTGGGATAAATGGAGGGAGCATCCCGAATAAAGGGAAGCGGATGCATGGAGTGAAGGTCCTGGGACCCTCTGCCCAGAAGGCCGCCCGAGCGCCAGGTCTGGTTGAGGGCCTCACGTGCAGCCAGCCCCAGGCCCTCCACCTGGCTGGGAAGCTGCCCGCCTCATCTCCCAGGGCATCTCTCCTCTCCACCTAACTCCCATGTCTGCCATCATTCCCTGCGAGTGATTCCAGAACCTTCTGTACCCACATTCCTCCTAAGCTGCAGCAGGTTGACAGGCAGGGGTGAGGGGTGCTCATCGCTGTGGTGAGGCTCATGGTTCCCGAGATGCCTCCCCAGCACTGCCCTGGCTGTGCCATCTGATATCCTAACTGCCGCCCCATGTCCCTCTGGGCTTCCCTTGAGTGTGACAGACCCATCAAGGCCCTGTGAACTGGACGTTCATGTCACTGCAGACGGTTATGGCTGGGGTCTCTGGCAGCGGCTTGAACGAACTCACCAACCTATTGGATACTAGCCACAACTCTGGAAATGGGCAGAGGTACGATACACTTTGATAGAAAAACAACTGGCTGCCATGTATCACGCCTTGCTGGCGACAGAACCCGTCACTGGAATGGCCCCGATAAAGGTAATAACAACCTATCCCATCTTGGGGTGGGTATGAGACTGGACCCAAAAGCCAAGGAATGGTGTGGCACAAACGCCCACACTGGCCAAGTGGGGTGCTTACCTACAGCAGCATAGTGCCCTCTCTAGTAGCCTCTTGAGCGAAGAACTCCAATGCTTATTGGGGCCAGTGACATACACTAATGAGAAGCAGGAAGAACTTGCTTTTGAACCATCAGTAGCAGAGAGTCCCTATCGGGAGGGAAGAGCCCCTATATCTGAAGATGCATGGTGCAAAGACGGCTCCAGCCGTGGGCAGCCCCCAAAATGGAGGGCCGTACCTTTCCATCCTAAGACTGAGACAATGTGAATGGAAGATGGTGAGGGGAAGAGAAGCCAACGGGCAGAGCTGCGGGCTGTGTGGCTTGTGATCAGCCAGGAGCCCTCCCCGATAGTTGTCTGCACTGACAGCTGGGCTGTCTATTGGGGCTTGATCCTGTGGCTACCAACCTGGTACCATGCCAACTAGCTGGTTGGTCATTGACCCCTTTGGGGGCAGGAACTGTGGTAAGACTTATGGGCCTGTGGTCAGACTGAAATAATTACAGTATACCATGTGACAGGTCATTTGCCACTGGCATCCCCAGGAAATGATGAAGATGATAAATTGGCCCAAATACGTAGGTTAGAAGGAAAGCCTACCTCTGATGTAGCCCAATAGTTACATCAGCGTTTGTTGCATGCGGTGTAAGAGACAATGTGGGCTGTAGCCTGTCAGTGGGGCTTACCTTTGACCTTTGAAGAAGTTAGCAGAGCCCGGCAGGAGTGTGTCATGCGCTCCAAAAGGGACTTACACTGAGTTCCACAGCAACATGGGACAATAGCTTAGGGGCCTATATACCTCATCAGGTGGTAGACAGACTATATTGGGCCTCTACCTGGGTCAGAAGGATATCGGTTTGTGATGATGTGTGTGGACACAGCTCCTGGACTTCTGGTTGCTTTTCCTACCTGTTGTGCAGACTAGCAGACGACCAAAGGGGGCCGGAGCACCCCTTTGCTGCCTATGGCCGACCACAGGAATTGAGAGTGATCAGGGCACCCATTTTATTGAATACACACTACAAGCTCACGAGAGCTCAGGGACTGACGACGGCTGACCTGTGGCATTCTTCCTGGTCCTGCTCTGCCACCAGCTGCCTCAGAGACTTGACCTGCACTTGGTTTGACCCCAGAAATATTTACCGCATACCTACTATGCATCAAATGCTGAGTGGGCGCTCGGGGGCTGTGGGGGCCACAATGTTGCAGTGACCTGCACAGAACAAAGTGTCTGCTCTCCAGGAGGGAGTAAGTCAAGCCAGAGAGACAGAGGCACGGACAGTGGCCGAGCTGAGGCAGAGCGAACTTCAGTGATGTGGGCAGCGCAGCAGAGGAAGGTCACGCCTGGCCCCAGGACAAGGGGCATGAGGGCTCGGCCTGACGAAGGGGAAGGGCTTTGAGAAGGAGCAGGGGCTTCCAGAAGCCTCCGGGAGCGAGTCTTGTCAGTGTCAGTAAATGCACATGTCTGGTGTGCTGCACAAGGGCGGAGCAGGACCCCGGCCTCCACACTGAGCTGGGCTTCACTGCAGGCCAGCACCAGCCAACAGAGCTTCCCTGCTGACGTGGAGATGTGCGTGCCCACTGCTCATCAGCCACGGGCCACGTGAGCAGCCATGCCCCATGGGTGACCGAGACCAGACTCTTACTTTCGACTTCAGTTTCGATTTAAGTGAGAGTGGCTGCCATGCTGGATGGCCCTGCTCTGGACAGCAGGAGGGCTTCCCAGGCCTGGGGGAGCATCTGTGGGGCTGGAGAACAAGCCTGAGGGGCTGGGAGGCCCGCCAGGAGGCATCTTCCCACTAGCCTGTTGGGGGTGAGCCTGAAGAGACCTTGCATCAGGGAGGTGCTCACCGGGAGGGCCCAGGAAAGGGCCACAAGAGGTGGGGAAGGACAGACAGGGCAGGCTGGCCCTGGGCATGCAGACAGGAGGTGAGGGAGAGAGCGAGGCTGAGGGTGAGAGGTCAGAAAGCCAACCACAGCATCGAAGGGCTGCCCTCCTGCACTGAGACACACACCTCACTGGACCCCCCACACTTCAGCGAGGCAGATGCTCCTGTCACCCCCTCTGTACGGAGGAGCAATTGAGGCACGAAAATGGGAGACTTCCCGGGGTCACAGAGCGAAGGATGCTGCTGGGACAGAAGAAGAGCCTGGCTCTGCGGCAGCAGCCTGCCTCCAGTGGTGCCCTGGTACCATGCGTCCACAGTGGGAGACGCTGTGCAGGGGAGGAGCGGCCTGTGGACTGGGGCAGGTGGTGCACAGCAGCCCAGGTGAGGCACTGGGTAGGGCGGGAGCAGGTGGGGCCCCGATGCCAAAGGGCCTGGGAAATTGTGCACCAGGGAGTCTCAATGCCAACAGGAAAGCCATCGGCAGCTGCTATCACAGAGGGCCACCATGCTGCACACAGAGGGCAGAAGCAGCCACGTGGTCAACCACCAACGGACTCAAAGCTCAGCAAACATGGGAGCGCTGAGATTTCTGCAAAACTGTCATCCAAGTCCCACAAGAAAAGGCCTCTTCCAGGGACCTGAGATCCGTGGACTGTGGACAGTAAAGTGGCTAAAGGACGAGAGGACCTATGAGCAGACACTTCTCTGACCACGTACAGGAAGCAGAGGGGGTCTCAGAACCACAGGGTGCAGATTTATCTGACCTTTTAATAAATGATGAGAAAGTTGGGCTTCCTTCCCCACCCACAGTCCTGACATCTGACCTTGAGCATCTAACAGATACAATTTCAGAAGAACACCTTGAAGCCCAAATGCTCACACCCCACTACCCGAAAGTCAGGGAGGTGCTGGGAGAGCTTCTGCTCCCCGGCACACGGGGGCCCCTCAGCTCTGCAGAGAGCGGGGACACCATCCGACCTCTGGGAGACTGACAGACACACAGTCACAGGAGTAGGGGAAGGCAGCGATCCCCACTGGGACAGGACGCAGGGTACCCAGGCCAGCCTGCTGGTTCGGGCGAACCAGGTGCTCAAGAGAGACTGGCGAGAACAAAGCAGGAAACCAGCCAGACTGGCCAGGCCAGGCCCAGGCGCCCACAGGCCGGTGCTCTGTCCACCTGGCCGGTCTTCTCTGCCAGTGTGACGTCAGAGTACAAGTGTGCAGCTCTGAGCTTTTGGATTTTAATTCTACACAGATACGGACTTGTGGGAAGCCAAGACGCAGCTCTGGGTGGTGCGCTGGTGGGAAGGGAAGGCCGTGCGGGAGGGCGCCCGGTCTGCAGCACACCCATCCACGCCATTGCTCCTCACCACACTGCCACATTGCTGGGATGCACACTTGACAAATTTCCTCTGCTTTTTCTAAAAGTGACCACCCTCAGGGCACAATTCGCCAAATCTGACTGCAAGTAGAAACTGTCTAGCAGAGTCAGTCTGTGCTTCTATCATGCATCTAACTTGGTCCACACGGAACTGTAAATCGGAAGGGCCTCGCCTCCCTGGAGGAGCTCAACAGAGGCACAACTGGCATCTCTATTTATTCTGAACCCAGTTTTTCAAGTGAGACTGAGCTTTTCCAATGACATGCCTAAGGTGAGAAGGAAGGTGGATGCCCTGGGCAGGGGGGGGGAACACAGGCTTCCTCGCAGGGCCATCCCTGAGTCGACCAGGCATGGCGCCAGGGGCGGGGGGGGGGGGGGGGGGGGGGGGGGGGGGGGGACCTGTTTCCCGAGAGCGATAAAAGAAGATGCAAAGACCCACACGGGGCGGGGGGGGCGTGAAGGGGCCTGATGGGTGCTCACCTGTGACGAGGGGCGTCTGTGCGGGCGGCGGCTCCAGCAGGACCATGTGCTGCAGAAGGGGGTTGTGCGCGGCCCCACCGTCACGCTCCAGCGGTGCTGTGCCCAGGTAGGGGGCGAGGTGGGCGCCAGGGAAGAGGGAGATGCGCTGTGGGAGGGTCGGGAGGGCGAGTCTGTCGGCTTCCTGCTGGCCGGCTGCAGCCTGCAGAGGCATGAGCGGTGACATGGGGCTCAGGGCCTGCCACACCGCCCTGCGGCCCACGGACGTCTACTTACAGCGGAAGGGCTGGCGGCCGGAAGTCCCAGAGTGATGTTGGGCAAGGATGGCGATGTGTACAGGGGCAGTGGGGCCACAGATGCCTCTCGAGTCACGAGTCTGTGTGCCAGGCTGGGCTGCAGACAGAACACAGAGTCAGCCACAGCCCAGCGCCGGCCAGGCGCCCTGGATGCAACTCAGGGCTGCCGTGCCGGTTTCTCAGGCACTGGCACAAACACACCGGCAGAGCGTTGCCCACAGGCCAGCACGATCTCACAGCGCCGAGGCGGGGGTCAGCCCGCCATTGGGCTTGGCTGTCGTCTTTCACACTGCGTACTCACTGTATAACTGCCGGGAGAGAGTCTACAAGAAAATATTTTAAAATACGTTCCTAGAGTTGGGAATGTCTTCCCAGACAGAATGTCAGAGGCAGAAACCAGAGGAAAATGATGACTGAAAAAAAGTCACCTCATATGCAAGGGAAATAACAGTGATCCTATCGGCGGCGTGTGGACAAAGGCGAGCACAGTGGGCTCACAGATCAATCAGCAACGCGGGGAGCGTGGCGAAGACGAATCGCCAAAGGAGGACCAATATTTGGGAAGAATAAACTCATGAAAAAAGACTCAACTGTCTGTCATCTAAAAATGTATTTAAAAACCTATCAAGCTGGCAAAGCATTTTTAAAAATGATAATACCATCTTAACCTGGAGCAACAGAAACACCTAGTAGGTGGATTATAAATTGGTGCACTTTTTCTACAGGACAATCTGGCAAGCCACATTAAAAGCCTTAAAAATTGATTTAACCTTTGATTCTAAAATTCCACTCTTTGGACGGTCTCTCAGAAAATAATGCCAGCTGCATGTGAAGATGTGGCCCCAGAAGTGCTCACTGCAGCCGGGTCCCAGCTGAAGAGAGGTGGCACAGCCAGCAGCGTGTCTGAGGGGGTGTGAGCAGAGGTGCGCTTGCACACGGGCACACTCAGGAGGCCGGGGCTTGGCACCTCAGTGACGGTGTTAGCTTAGAAAAACAAGTTGTAGAATCACGGACTCCTAAAGAGCAGACTTAGACTCCCAAGCGTAAGTCAAGAGTGTGATGGGAAGGACAGACAGACAGTATCAGCAGCAGCGTTCTCCGAGGATCTGAATTTCTGTGATGATCTAACATCTTTTTCCTTCTAGAGTGAACATTCTTTATTACAAAGGACACTGTTTTATGCACCAGTCTACCGCCTACACAGTAAATGTGTGCTCATCCCATGAGCAAATAGCACGAACGGAGCGTCCTGCCATGTGGCTGGCCGGGCAGAAATCTGCACAACAGAAAAGAAGGGGCCAAAGCACAGAACAGGCTTCCCCCTGCTTCTCATGGTGGACTGCGTGATTCAGGGTGGGAGACACTGGGGGGGCTTTAAGGTCCCACCTCCATGGGAACCAGTCATGAGCAGGAAGTCATGACAAGTCCTTGTAAACAATGGGCCGTGGGCAGCCCCACTCCTGTCACAGGACAGAGCGGTTGCTCCCAGGGCCTGCCTGTCACACACCTCCTGTGCCTTGTTCTCGCCCGAGGGCAGACCAGGAGGTGCGGCCTCTGCACTCAGCCAGCTCAGGGTAGCCTGTCCTGGGGAAAGTGCTGAGCCGCTGTTAGCTGGTCACGTACAAATTGTACAGTAGTGATTACAGGGCTGCTGTGGAAAGCACTTTTCCTAGACAAAAATGTTTTTGTTGGGAGTTAAGGAAGTATCAGCAGTCTACGCTTGAGAGGCATGACCGAGATGGCCAAGGAGAGATTTCACTCAGTCACCAGGAACAAAGCAAGCGGGTATTCTGATCCTGGCAAAGTTACCATCTCTCTACAACCAAGGCTACATTTTCACCTATTCTGAGAAATGAAGCCTCTCCTGGGAGTCATGTGGTAGGTAGGCCTGTCTGCATCCACCAGGTCAGCATCTCCATCCGCCTATGGTGGCCTTGTGGGCATCCCAGTGCCCACAGGAGGTCAGGGCCAGGCAGAGTGCCTGTGGGCCGCCTCTGAACCAGATGCAGCACCCCCAAAGAGAGTGGTCCCTGGAGCTGGGAGCCCCACTTCTGCGCTGGAGGAGCGGGTGCTGAGCTTCCCAGGTTAGGATCTACAGCAGTGAAGTTGCTGCGAACCCAGGCCTGGCCCTGCTCCCGCCACACGGCCTCTGGGCCAGCAGAGAAGGAGCCGCCAGCCCTGGCTTCCGGACGCCTGCAGGTCCTCAGGAAGCCGCCCATTCTCACAGTGCTTGAGAGCAACGGGACACCCAGGTGTGGCCAGGCTGTCAAAGTTCTCCCCTGCTGGTTACTTGTCAATTCTTTTCCTTCTTCTGTTAATTTGTAGTAGCTTCATTTGTATTGAGGTGTGATTTGTAAAAATTAGTGAATTTAAACCAGAACCATGTACATCCACTCCAGGAAGGCACCCCTACAATATGCCCTGTGAGGTACATAACCAACTATATTTATGAAAATAAAGGTCTGTGACATGCTGTGGAGCGAGGCGTGTTTCAGAAAGCGTGCTACGGCTAGTGACAGGCCTCAGCTGGGACTTGGTCTCACACTGGAGGACTGTCACAACTTCCAATAATCTAAGTACTTAGGCTGAAAACGACAGGCGATAAAAGAAACGGAAGTAGAAGGGGAGATGAGTGTGAGAGAATGGGGACTCGGCAGGCCAGAGGCAGCAGTGCCAGATCCCAGCTGCAAGCTGTTTCCAAAAATCTGGTTGTACAGAAAGTGTCCAGAAACTCGAAATGAAAATGCCAAGCGCCTGTGCTGTGAACTGCATTCAAGATCTGTGACGCCCTTGGAAGGACAGGATTCACAGGCAAGAGGTGACTCTGCTCTATGCCTCACAGCCTCCTCGCGGTTAGAAGGAACTCAGGACTCGGGGGAGCCTCCCCTCAGAGAACTCCTGGCTCACGTCGCGCGAACTCGGGGCCCCTTGCACCAGACGGGCCCAGGACCTGCTGAGTTCCTGGGCACGGGGCAGGCCCGCCTCGCCCGTCGGCCCACTGAGCGTGTCGAAGCAGGAGCCTGGCTGGCCATCTGGCCCAGGGCTGCCCAAGGAAGGGGCTGCAGAGACTGTGGGATAAATGGAGGGAGCATCCCGAATAAAGGGAAGCGGATGCATGGAGTGAAGGTCCTGGGACCCTCTGCCCAGAAGGCCGCCCGAGCGCCAGGTCTGGTTGAGGGCCTCACGTGCAGCCAGCCCCAGGGCCTCCACCTGGCTGGGAAGCTGCCCGCCTCATCTCCCAGGGCATCTCTCCTCTCCACCTAACTCCCATGTCTGCCATCATTCCCTGCGAGTGATTCCAGAACCTTCTGTACCCACATTCCTCCTAAGCTGCAGCAGGTTGACAGGCAGGGGTGAGGGGTGCTCATCGCTGTGGTGAGGCTCATGGTTCCCGAGATGCCTCCCCAGCACTGCCCTGGCTGTGCCATCTGATATCCTAACTGCCGCCCCATGTCCCTCTGGGCTTCCCTGATACGCAGGCAGGTGGTTTGTTGGCTAACATTTTAATCTGTGTTTCTCTACATGCAAGAACTGCGTGAATTGTCACCCAGAAATGGTTCCCACGGGCTCCCACTGCCCGGCCACACGAGAGTGCTGGCAATGTGGGAGCAGGGCACAGACGGTCAGCTTGCCGTCTGAACTGCCCTAATGTCACCTGCCCTTGGGAGAGGTTGCAGCTGGCCCTCAATCCTCACGAGGGACGACTGCATTCGATTAGTAACAGGAAGGGGTTCGCCTCACTTCCCGCCTCCCCGACCCGGCTGCTGCAAAGGGCCAGTGCTGAAGGTCGGTCCCCAGGCAGAGGCAAAGCAAGCATTGGGCACTGACCTCGGCTGGCAGGGTGGGCACAGCGGGCGCGAGCCCGTTTTCTGCGCTGACGTTCCCGGAGCTGTTGTTGGGCGAACTGGGCGCGGAGCCCGGAGCGCTGCTGCACGCGGAGTCTGTGGGTGGAGAGATACTGGTGAGCCTTACTGGGTCAGAGGGCAGGTGAAGGGCACGGCACGCTGGCTGGGGCTGTACTACCCTTCCGGCGATTTCTGCTCTTGGCTTGCTGACTGGCAGGAATCCCAACAGGGAAGAACAGGCCTGCCGCCCCCAGACAGGGATGGGAAGCTACTTCCCGACTCTCAGGTTTGCTACCCACTTCCTCTGGAGCTTTGCAAACCCCAGCTCCAAAGATGCCCCACTGTGCCTTTTAAGCTGTGCACACGATCACCTTCATTCCTCCTTTGAATTTCAAGATTTGAAACACAAGATAAGACCTTAAACATTTATTAATATTCTAACAACAAAAGACCAAAACACAGAAGCCAAATGACTTTGAACAGGGAAAGAAAGGCCAGACCTACTGTGCTCAGGGCTACAGCCACCGCCTCTGGGGCTCACTGTGAGCCAAATCCTCACCATCCCTGCGTAACAAGCCCCCAAGGGAAGGGCGGTCCGTGGCATCTGCGATCCATCAGTGATGTGAAAGCACACCAAGGCACTCCCCATGTGGCTCCGCAGGTCCAGGTGGGTCCACGTAGCCTGCGGGGACCAGGTCCCCCGGCATGCCTGTGGTCAGGACAGGAACAGGCTCAGCCTGCATCTCCTCTTCTCTTCCAAAGGAGCTGCCTGGACACTTGATGTTAACACGAGGGTGTTTTTAAAGTTGTGTGTGTGTTCTTCCTTGGTTTAATGGCATTTTAACAACAGCATCTTCTGGTTAAGACCTTCCAGAGACACTGCAACATGACAGACCTGCCGGCTCTTCTGCACGTATGCCATTCACGTGGACCAAACACTTAGAGCCCCCGCACAGCACCCCCTGCCGCCAGGAGGACGTGGAGGGAGGCTGAGGGGTGTCTTCCTGAGCAGGCCCTCGAGTGAGGTGCACTGAGCCCGGTCACCTTGCAGAGCCTGGAGGTGGGCCGGATCCCAGCAAAGCCTCTCCCACGGTCGCCGGCGGCCGGCAGCTCAGGGAGCTAGCTCACGCCGACTCCATGCTCCCAGGGCTGCTGGAGGCTAGAGCCTCAGAGCTGCCCCGGCCCCTGGTGGGCCTGGCAGACTGGGGACTCTGGTTCCCAGTATGAGGCTGGGAGACAAAGGGAGGTCCAGGGAGTGGGGGAGCCGAGTGCAGCCACCCCAGACTCAGTTTCAGGAGCTGTGCACCTGTTAGCTCTCTCGTCCCTCAGCCACCCCCGAGGAAGGCACAGAAGAGGACACTGCGGCACAGAGAGGTGATGTTTCTGCCTGGGCGCACACAGCTGAAGGGAGCCCCCAAGGGCAGGTGCAGCCCCAGCAGGACAACCGTGGCTGCTCAGTTCCTCTGGACAAGCAGCTCTCCACCTGGGAACAGCCTCACGGCAGGTGGCCACATGGCAAGGGCACCCTGCTCTGCTGGGTCTGCCCCTTGGCTCAGGGGTCTGGGGGCAGCAGGGACACCCCGCGGTCCTGGTGCCGACGGTGCACTGGGCCAGCCCCCGCCCCCCCGCCCCTCCTGCTGAAACCACACTTTCAGTCATGCTTACACCGCACTGTCATGGCTGCCGAGAAGGCCACCTGGGCTGAGCAGGTGTTTACGCATCAAGGCCAGGTCTGCTTTCCCCGCACCCGCCGCCTCCTCTCACCGCAATGCAGCCCGCTGGGGCCCCACCTTGGGCACCTCTGTTGTCATCCTGTTTCCAGCTACACACCAGGTTCCATCAAACCCTCCTTCGAGATGCTCCTTGGGGTAGTGTCACCCAATAAGCATGCTGGCATGTGTGCATGGGAAACCAGAACAGCTTTTTGGGGCAATAAAAGATATTTTTCCCCATTTCCAACATTCCCCCATTTCCAGCTCACTCACTGATTCCTGATTAGTTCTCACCCCAGTCCAGCAATCTGGTCTAAGGAGCAACTGGGAATGTGCCATCATGGTGCTATCCACACCAGCACAGATGGGGTGCCACCAAAGGGCCGGGAGGTGCTGCGCCCAGAGCCCAGCGAGCGGCAGACAAGCGCGCAGACGGCCTGGACTCAGCAGAGGATGGTGCACTGCAGGAGGATGGTAAGCTAGGCCCCAGTGGGGACAGCACTGACCTCTTCAGCGTGTGGAGGAGCAGCTTATCCTCTTCTGCTCTCTGACAATAACATCTGAGAAAGGCAGGTGTGACTCTGCCTTGCCCGCTGCAGCCCATCTCAAGATCATCGTGGCCGATTCAGGACCATGTCCTCACCTCTGACCTTCCCACCACCCGTGGGCTGGGTGGACCTGCTTCTGCACTGCCCTGGCTCTCTCCTGTGCAAGAGCCTTCACCACCTCCCCAGTACCTGCCGGAAGGGGTCCCTCCCTCTGTTCAGGATCATTCTTCCCAGAAATCCTTGTTTTCCTGTGCGCTGGGAAGTCGGCTCTGCTCAGAGCTTTCTCCCACCTCCAGCAGAGTGGGGGTTCTGTGTTGGCCGGGAAGTCACCACTGCTGGCTCCTCGGCCAACTGCACTTAACAGTCCAGCTTCCCTGGCCCTGCAAAGCTTCCCGCCCTGCTTGGCTGGCCTCCTTAGGTCTGCACTCTCTCCAGGACACAAGCTGTACCACTGGGTGCGGCACGCGTGGCTTGTCAGCTGTCCCACACCGGGCAGTCTGATCTCATCACGTGCACACAGCCGGGTGTGACTCATGGCAGCAGCAAGCAGTTACGGGTGGACGACATGAGCACTTGATCCCACGCTCTGAAAGAGGCCTGCTGATGATTTGGTAGCACCACCTGTGTGGCTTGGAATAAAACCAGGTGGCTCATCGGTCCGCTGGCGCTGTAGCCCACGCAGGGCGCTCCCCGAACAGAACAGGGCTGTATCTATGTTTAGACGTGTTTTAACTGCGATTCCCTAAGCCACGTGGAATCACCCGTTGTTGAAACTTAGTGGGACTTCTGATGGCAGTATTTCCTCATCCCTTTAGACAAGGCCTCTCATGGGTCAGCCAGAGGGGATAAGACAGTGACGGGATGTGGTTCCCAGGGTTATTACGTCAATCCACAGATATCCCAAGGCAGGCGTTGCACAGCAGGGCTGAAGAAGCCTGGAGTCTGGCGGGACAGGGTGCACAGCCCCTGCATGGCTGCGGGTCAGGCGGCAGCCAGAGCCCTCACCTACCCCGGACGCCCAGAGGCTCACAGCAGAGTGTGGGAGAGGTGCTGAGCTCTTACTCACGGAGCCCACTGCCTCCCTGGAGGTGGCACTGAGGACTGCCACTAAGGGCCTTGCCTTTCACATCAAACACTTAGCTCTGTGCACACACGTTCCTCCTGTTCTAAGCAGCCCCGTTAGCTCGGTGCTGACACCAGGAGCAGGACATGTGCCCTCAGGGCATGGGGCTGAGCTCTCAGGACAGGGTGCACCTGAGGAAGTGCTCTGGTGCAAGGGTGTACCTCAAGGCGGGCCACCTTGGGAAGTGGGTGCGCCCCTGGAGTGGGGTGTGCCCTCTGAAGTAAGGTGCACCCTCAGGGTGGGCGTGTCTTCAGACAGGGCAACCACAGGAAGTGGCTTCGCCTGGTGGGTGTACTTCTGCGTGTCCACCACCAGATGGGGGCCGAGAGCAAGGCACACGCTAGGAGAAAGCCAAGGCGGCTGGCTGGCTGGCTCCCTCCCTTCCTTCCTCCCGTCCAGCAGCCCACCTGCCACTCTGCCAGGGAGATTTTAATGCTCCCCAGGGGTCCTGAGATTGTGCAATGGGCAAGGGAGCACGTCAGGAACATGTGACTCACCACTAATAGGGCAGGACTGGTTAAGAACCCTGCCTTAGCAGACACCTCAAAATTCCTGTAAACATCCAGTGCAATGTCACACTGGCTGCTCTCGGTGTACCTGGGCCCATCAATACCAGCTTCTAGTGACAGATCCCTGCAGGGGCACCACCTGGGGCTCTCAGAGACCCACCCTGAAAGCACTGTGGGGATACGGTGGCCATGCAGAGATGCAGGTCTCAGAGGGGCTAAGGGAATCACCACAGCAGCAGAGCCTCACGGAGGGCAGCAGGTGGGGGCAGTGGGTGGGGACAGCAGAGCCTCACGGAGAGCAGCAGGTGGGGGCAGTGGGTGGGGGCAGCAGAGCCTCATGGAAGGCAGCAGGTGGGGCAATGGGTGGGGGCAGTGGGATGTTAACTACTCAGCTGACATACCTGTGACATCCAAGGGACGCTTTTTAAGAGCAGTAACCACTGGCCCATCTTTCCTGCGTAACAGGGGGCTGCTCCGTCTTTCAGCCACCTTCTGCTTTAGCCTGGACCGTAATTTCAGGTTTGGTTCAGAAGCTGCGTGGAAAGGAGATGCCGTTACTGCCAGGCAGATGTAGCTGGGATCAAGGTATCTCGTTAGTGGTTTAAAAATGTGTATGCTGGGTGGGTATTTGCCTAGCGTGGGTGTCATTCCAGGGCAGGAAAGCAGCGCCCCTGAGCCCTGTGTGCAGGGCAGTTTCATTCTCGTCACGAGTCCCAGGTAACAGGTAAAATACACCCGATGCCTCTGGCTGAATTTCTCCAGACCCAGGTTATGTGTGAGTTGGAGGTACCAGCGAAAGTAACGCTGTTACTGTGTTTTACCAGCAGTGGGGAGAAAACAATCAAGGGCGGCTCAGGGCTTTGGCCCCAGAATGGTACTGTGACTTCTGCATTAGCCACCTCCCTGCTCACTGTGTATCAAAATATGGGGTAACGACCCATAAGCACCTGCCTACTTGCGCTCCCAGAGCGCAAGGCCAAGAGGGTGCCGTGGCCAGAACCGCCCGAGGAGGGCTAGCCAGCCAGCTTTCCACACCTGCGTGCTGGTGAGCACCCAGCTCTCGGTGGCCACCTGACCACATGGCACAGGTGTTTTGGCTTGGTTTGGTTAGGTTATGAGCTCTGCTTGTGTGGACAGAGCCATTTGCAAATCTGCAACTTGAAGCCCACAGTGCTCCGGAGATCGCCGGGACTGCCCCCAACCAGCTGAGTCGCACACCTGGGGGGCAGGCGCGCCTTGGGACGCGCGGCGCTCTGGTGAGGCTGCCTGGGGGAGGGCTGCCTCACTGCGTCAGGCTGCCCCGTCTGTGCTCCCGGCACAGGCTCTCCGGCCACGTGAGGCCGTCAGCTCTCAGTGAGGACGACAGGAAGCCTGCTGTGGAGACGTGTGAGTTCTGAAGTCCTACTTGACTGCTTTCAAGCCTCTACTACTTGTACATTTACAAATTTGTGAGTTTTTACCCCCTAATCAGCAAATCCTGCTGTTTTTAATCTTTCTGGAACAAGAATTTCATTGCTCTCTAGAGCAACAAGCAATACGAATGAGTTTCCTGGACTCAGAGTAAAGATAGTCGGAGTTACGAGAATCAGGCACACGCGCATCTCCTGGCCGCGGTGACGCCACCCTCTGGGGAGCACGGGGAGACGGGCCGGTGAGTTCTGGGTGACCCCGAAAGAGGCTGCGTGGCTAAGAGCAGCTGCTCTGTGGGCCCTGGAAGCAGGAGGAAGAAGCAGGCCACCTAAATGGAGCCTCCCACGCTTTTCCAGCTGTGGCACCCGCTCTGGAGGGCACCCACAGGGCAGACGCCCATCCGGCCTCGCAGAGCTCAAAGTGAGCAAGCACTCGCTGATGACCAGGAGCATTCAACCGCCAAACAGCCTTCCCAGCAGCCTACAGAGGCCACTGCTAATGTTTTTAATGCTTATCTTGAGATCGCTGAAGGTTCACGTGTTTTATTCATTTCTGTTTTTCTTATCATTATCTAAAGAGAGAAAAAAGCCCCAACTCTACCTATTAACAGGCAAGAAAACAATGGCTCTTCTCCTACCACCAGTCTCGGCTGTAACGACTCCAGGCCCAGAGACTGTCTGTCCACCCCGGGACAGAAGCTGCCGCCATGGGGAGAAGTGGCTTTGGAGCGTCCAGGGCAGCATAGGCCCCATCAGAGGCAGCTCGTCGGCCCCTGACCCTGCCGTGCGGTCCCCTTTCTGTGGTGGCCCTGATGTGGTAGCAGGAGGTGTGTGGGTGGTATGGTGGTACTGGGTCACCCCAGGGCCAGCGCCTGGGCCTCCCCCAGTCCCTGAAGGTCATTCTGCATCAGTGCACCTGCTGACCGACATCGCTGGCCAGGTCATAGGCTGGGCAGCCACACTGTCCCTCGCCCACCCCCTGCATCCCCCAAGGACCCAGGCTCCTGGCGTGGCCTCAGCCTACAGGACAGGCCCCACGCCCTGGACAGCCGCTGCTGCTGGTCATCAGCCCTCCCCAACCCCCACGCCCTCCCCATGGCACAGAGCAGCGGGGTCGCCGCCTGAAAGCACTTTGCTCGTTTCTTTTCTTCCTGCTCCCCCCTCCTCCCTTTCCAACCCCTCAGCACTTGAACACAGAATTCACAAACACCCGAAGGATCTGCCCACCACCCTTATCCTGGGTGGACTCAGTGGTGCTCATCCTGCAAAGCGGGACTCAACACAGGGCTCATTGCCCTCCCTGCATGGCCCCAACCCATGCAGAGCCCAGGGCCAAATGGACACCGGGAGCCCTGTGCTCAAGATGTAAAGAATTTCACTCCGACGATGACAGAGCATCGCCAAGCGGGGGCCCTGCCTGCAGCAGGGTTTGAAGCACAAGGGGGCCCCCTGCACCTCATGGGCACTGCCTGGGGCCGGCTGAGGCCAGGGCCCTCCCATCCCTCCAGACCAACTCCTGTGGAACATGCCGGCACGGGCACCGGGAGGAAAGGGGGGCAGCCTCCTCCCAGGGAGCCGCCTGCCCCACCAGCTTCCAGGTCCAGGTTCTCCCTACGGTCGCCGCTGTGTGGGGAGGGGGCGTGACTGTGGCTCAAGGGCCCCACTCCTCCTGCCCTCCCACTCTCTGGCGGCCTCTGGTCCAGGGTCAAGCCCACGGAAACGAGTCATGCACACCCCTCAGAGCAGGAACAGTGACTTACCAGTGCAGCTGCTCGTAAGCGTACTTCTTGAAACTTGAAAATGTCTGTAACACCCAGACAGCCTGCATGGTGGCCAGAGCTTAGGACGCAGGCGAGTTGCCGCCCCCTGCCACAGGGGCAGCCAGTGAGCTTAGGGTGCACAGGCCCTGCCATAGCTCTGCCTGCACCTGAGGCCCTCAGACACATCCCTGCCAAGGCGGCCAAGGGCCATAAACACAGGATAAACCTTGCTGCTTCTCACAGGGCTGCAGGCGACCTGGCAGACCCAGCGCGTACGTAAGGAGAATGGCACCCTAGGAGGGTTCCAGGTGAACAGACACAGCCTGCCTCTCCCGGGGAAGCTGTGGGGCCAGCGAGTTTCCTTCAAGGCAGCCACGTAGGTGACAGGTGGAGGATAAAGCCACCCCAGCCTCCATCTTAGAATTCGACTCCAGCCTCTGCACCTGCCCCTCATGGGCAGGAAGTGCCTCCAGGCTAGAGGTGGGCCCGTTCTTCACTCACCCTGACGCCCACACTCACTCCATGGGGCTCTGACTTCCGGAGACTTACAGCCCAGCTGCCCGCAGGGTGGGAACGTCTGAACTGCCTGATGGTCTGGTGGGGGAGGGGATGCAAGTGACCCTGGCTGTGCATGATCGGGAAGCAGTGCTGTCCTGGGGTCCAGCTCCATGCTTCTAGCTGGCGAGGAGGCAGAATGTGGGCAAGGAAGGATGCGTGGACGTTGCTGTGGCCCTGGCACGTGGACAGAGCACACAGTAAGTGCGGGCAGCCGCCCCTCCCTGAGATCTGGAAACGACAGCCAGGGGAACAGCGCAGCCACGGGACAAAGCGGAGTGTTAAAAGATGACTTCAAGAAAAAGTTGAGAAACTTGGTAAATGGGAGTGAAAAGGCCCAACATCTAATTTAAATAATGCCCAGAGAGGACAGAGCAGAGAATATTGCAGACGTGACTGAGACACGCCACTCCCCAGAGGGAGGCCTGGGGCCCGGGTGGCCACGGACCACAGCCCAGGCCGGGCAGGCGCCGTGCGCTGTCCGGACTCTGGGGCCGGCATCAGCCCCGAGCAGTGCTGGACCCACGACAGCCGCCCTGAGGCCGAGATAAGATCGGAGGCTCCCGAAGGAGCGCGACTCCTGCATCCAGCCGCCTCGCCGATCAGGTGGGGGCCCGAATGGAGGCGTTACCAGCAAAGACCCTCAAAATGTGTCCCGCGCACTACTTCTCAGAAAGCTACCGGACACGTGCCCGACCAAAACGAAGGGCAGAACCCAAGGATGAAGCAGCAGTGGAGTCAGGGAAGGAGGCAGGTGCCCGGGGACACCGGTGGGGCTGCAGGAGGGGCCACGCAGCCAAGTAGGAAAGGCTCCCCGTCTGCCAGAAGGTGCGGTGGAATTAATGACGTACAGAGAACGAAGCAAATGTGAAAGAATGACTTAAGGAAAGCCAGTTCCATGAGAGTCGGGGCAGCCACAGCGCGCTGTTTACGTGGGCACCCTATACCTCATCTGTCCTGACGAGGGCGGGGTGATTCCTGCCGTGTCTTGCAGGGCTCTTTCATTCATGCACATTTACTCTGATAATAAAAAAGCTGTGCAAGGACGAACGGCAGACAGGAATATAATTTTTGTAGCACACATGTCAGAGCCAGGATCGATATGAACATATAAAGCATGACTGCGAAGCAACACAAAAACACTCAGCGGAGAAGCGGAAAGAGGAACTGCCAGTAAACACGCTCCCCTGAACACCAATGGGCTCTGCCCACGTGCTAGCATGGTTCTGGACGCTGCGCACAAGGGCTGGACAAGAAAGACACACCTGGCAGGACCCTGAGCTCCGCGGCATGGCCACACTGCACCCCAGGACTTCAGTCCCAGGGTCTCCCGTGTGGTGCCCGGCCCCTGCTGGCACAGCTCCCATTCCACCAGAACACATGAAACAGACACCCACGTCACTACAGCGACGGCACCACCACTGAAACATCGAAGGGAGCCTGTTCTCGCCCTTCCGATCGGCAAGAACGGACTGTGGTCATGCCCCTCAGGGACGGGGGTACTGGACTCTCACGAGCTGCCAGTGGCATTTGAAAATACACATACCCTTTGAACTGGCAGTTCCATCTTTAGGAATCTATCCTACAGAAACACTAGCACAAGTGCCCGTATTTGTTGGCAAAATAAAAACTCAAAAACAGTTATATAATATCCATATACTGCAATACAGAACAATATACACTGAAATGGAATGGTACTCATGATACAGTATCAGTTGAAAAAGTTACAGGACAAAACGCGAAGCAGTTATTTTTGTTAACTAAAAGGCAACTGTGCACACACAGCGCACACAGACACACACCCCTGCA